GAAGAGCACAATGCATTTATTTTTGTTTGAAAATATTCCCTTACGAAATTGTCTTTTGTTTCTGTTACTTTTAAAATTTTTTATTTTACTTATACCTAAATTTAAACGTAATTATCCGAACTGACATCCCTATTAATATTCTAATATATTTATTCTTCTTTCACTCAAATAATTTTAAGTTCAACAGTGGATGGACTTTGATCTCTCATTTCTAACTGCCTCATTTTGGTTGGTGTTGTTGTCACTTTCATGTCATTTACCTTTCTTCAAATAGTTATGTACATCAACAACGAATAAGAAAACAACGTGTAACAGATAAACCAACGAAAGCAAAAATATTATGTAAACAAAAAAATTGTACATTGATCTAACAATTATGATGCTTTTGTTGTTAGATAGTTATTCTATTTCGATCGTCGGTGTTAAGAGAATTGTTTTCTACCGCGCTGCATAATAGTGAAAAGATCTTAAATCGACGTATACTATATCTAACATTTATAATAATACTAGCTGGTCCGGTCCGCGTTGCCGGCCCGTAATTTTTGTCTTTAATGATTTTTTTAAAGCATAATAGATCACAGATCTGACTCATCTAATGAAAAGTTATGACTGCATAGTAATTTCTAAATAGAAACAAATATTCATGGCAAAAATTATTATGGATGTTCACCTACCGTCGGTGTTACATATTTTGAATAGCCTGATCTTATTTTTCAGCCATAGGCTTTAATTTGAGTGTTAAGGACCTTTATGATATAGAACGTCTATAATAGCCCCATGTGAAAACTCAGCTCAATTTTCGGTGTTTTAAAGAGCTTAGCAATATTTTCCATTAAAATGAGCTGTAATTTGGAGTTTGTATTTCCAACGTTTAGAATACCGTGCTGCCTGATATTTATTTTTGTCCACCTCATAATTGAGGGCAGAATGATTTCAGTATAGTCAAAGATAATTACTCTTTTACACCCATTACCGAAAGATGGGAATTAATTTTTTTGATGATGATGGTTTCTTTTCAAATTACCACCATTTGCCGAAATTCGTATGAAAAATATGGTTAAAATGTAAACTATACTTGAAATCGGGTTATACTCTTATCTGGCTATGACCCAAATCATGACCTGCAAAAGCAATCTAAGGTATCTTGAAAGTTTAGGAAGAAATTATTTTCTTACTAAATGTCCAATTCGCTTTATATTCGGTATTTCGCTGATTGCAGTCCCAATGAATTTAGCATTTTGAGTTGTCTTTGGACGGATTATTGTCATGTGAAGGAAGTGAGTCCACGTTTTAAAATGAGCCCCATAACGCTTTGTCGGTCATTTTTGCTTGTTTAAATGTGTTCGCATTTACCAGCTGAAGCACGATGTAGGTCCTGCAGTTGAAAGCTATATGACAATTTTAGGCATGAAAGATTGTCATTTAATATCGTTTTGCATAACATCCGAAATTGTATGAATTCTTAAAATCCGTCAAACCGTTCTTGAGTTATAAGCGTAGTAACTGACATGATTTTCTTATATATGGTGAAAATAATTCTTTATTTTTTTTCAAAAAAAAAAAAAAAAAAAAAAAAAGAACAATAGAATTCAATATCTTAAGCTAAATTGAAAAAAATCGTACATTATATAAAGATGACAAAAACAGAAAAGCAAATTGAAAAAAATAAAACAAATCTTTAACTGGTTCGTTTATATTTTACAGCAAATGTTTAAAGGTCATTACGAAGTTTGTCAATAGACTGTACTATGTACTAATTCGATTCCATTAAACAATTTTTCATTTTTCTTTCCCGATTTTAGAATTTTTGCAATGAGATGTCCTTTTTCGTGATTTTTTTAACGATTTAAAAAAATAGTAATTAACATAATTTTGTTTATAGCTTATATCTATAAATAACAGTTTTGTCCGTTGTCGCTTTATACTCCCCGAACAGACTACACATAATATTACAATTAAAAAAAAACACTACAAATATACATTCGAAAATTGTAAGTCAAAATGGAAAAAAATTATGCAAAATAAAACTACTATTGTACATTTCAAAAGTCAAAATGTAAATACTCAAATTTCACATTTTTACGCGATTTTTTTGGATTTTATCCTTTTCCGCCAAGAGACAATTCCGAATCTGTCTAAATCTTTAAAATCAGATCAGCGGTTCTTGAATTATAAACGTAGTAACTAAAACAACGTTCTTATATATATATTATTAAAAAGTAGGCGTAGATTAAAAAGTAGGCGTGGTTAGTTCTTCAGCCCCAAAATATATACTTATGTGTGGATGGGAAGTCAACAGTATCTCGTGTAATAATTTTCAAACCGATATCTTCATTATTTTGGCAAATATAAGGATTTTAGATAAATCTAAATGGAGGGCTTAATTATATTTTTTTCTAGCAGGCCCCGTCCGCATTGCCGGTCAGTACTTTTAGTCTTTAGTGCATATTTTCTAAAGCATAATAGAGCATAGACTTATGTGAGCGGGACAATTTTTATTATAAGTAAAACAACTCCATAGTAATTTCTAAATAGAAAAACATTCATGGCAAAAATTATAAAAGGTAATCACCCACCGTCGCTTTTAGATAGTTTGAATAGCTTGATCTTATTATTCAGTCGTAGGCTTTAATTGAGTGTTAAAAACCTATATGATATATAACATCTATAATAATCCCATGTTGAAACTTAATTTTTTGTATTGTAAAGAGCTTAGCGAAATTTTCCCTTCAAATTAGCTGTAATTTGGGATTTGTATTTACAACGTTGAGAATACCGTGCTGTGTGGAATTAGTCCACCTCCACCTTAGTCCACCTCATAATTAGGGGCAGAATGATTTCAGAATAGTCAAAGATAAGTACTCTTCTACAACCATTACCGTAAGAATGGAATTTACTTATTTATGTCATTTAAAAGTTCATATTTTTCATGATAGTATAATTCAAAGACGATCAAAGTAATTACGAATATTAAATCATTGATGGTTATACCAAACCGTATTCATTTTTTGCGAGGATTGTTCCTTCTCAAATTACCAACCTTTGCTGAAATGAGTATTCAAAATATGGTTAAAATGTAAACTATACTCGAAATCGGGCTATACCCTTAAACGAAAGTCATATATCATGACCTGCAAAAGCGATTTAAAATATTAAGTTAAGGAAGAATTTCTGGAAGGATATAAATCCTTTTTTACTAAATGTTCAATTCGCTATACCATATTTACTGATTGCAGACCCAATGAATTGCATTTTTTGAGTTTTCGTTCTAACATCAAAGAGATTGTTTTTCGTTCACATTTATATTGGCATATTTTACCGCGATTTTTGGCAGGATAACATTCCAAAATTGTATGAATTATCAAAGTCCGTCAAGCCGTTCTTTAGTTATAAGCGTAGTACCTAATATAACTTTCTTTTATATTGTGAAAATAATTCTTTATTTTGTTTACAAAAAATCTACTGAATTCAATATGATAAGCCAAACTAAAAAAAATTGTAAATTATTCAAAATTGATAAAAAAAAGCAAACTGAAAAGAGAAAAAAATCTTCACCTTGTTCGATGATTTTTTAAAGTCGAAGTTTAAAGTTTGTCGATAGAATGCACTATTATTATAAAATTCGATTCCATAGAAATGTTTTTTCGATTTTTTCCCTATTTGTGAATTTTTGCAATGAGATCTCTTTTTTTCGTGATTTTTTAGCGATTTTGAAAAAATAATTATCTTTTAACTTTGGTGTGACCGCGTTAAATTATTTCAATATAATCTATTCCGTTTCGCCACCACATAATTCGGTACTACAATTCCATGTAACCCGCCTTCAATTTCTGTTCTCAAGAAATCATGTCAATTAAATAAATTGGTTTTAATATTCGATTTCAAAAATAAAATATAAAAAACACTACAAATGTACATTAGAAAAAGTAAGTCAAAATGAAAAAAATATCATACAAAAAGAACATTACTATTGTACATTTCAAAAGTCAAAATGAAAATGTTAATATATCACATTTTTACGCGATTTTTTTGGATTTTATCCTTTTCGGCTAGGAGACAATTCCGAATTTGTATGAACCGTTAAAATCAGTCCAGCGGTTCTTAAGTTATAAGCGTAGTAACTAACAGAATTTTCTTTCTTTATAGATGATATATTTAGATTAAAAAGTAGGCGTGGTTAGTTCCTCAGCCCCCAAATAAATACTTAGGGTTGGAAGGGAAGTCAACAATATCTCGTGTAATAATTTTCAACCCGATATCTTCATTATTTTGGTATATATAAGGATTTTAGATAAATCGAAATAGTGGGCAAAAAGTGGGCGTGATCAATATTTTTTTCTTTAAAAACCTAACTCGGGGTATGACGAACGTTTGTACAAAATATTATGCAAATCGATCCAGCCGTTCTCAACTGATTCCGTTACCAACAAACAACAATTGATTTTTATATATATAGAAGATTAATAAGGATTTTACTATCCCATCGGGAGCATATAGCTACAAATTATATTTAATTATTATTTTATATAAAATAAAGTTGCCCTAGAGACAATTCATAATTTTTTAAAGAAACTGTTGGTGTGATTTTTTACGCCAATAACATCTCCTGTATTTTTATGAAGCCCGGGACTCCTGATTGTTCTCACAAATCGAAGGAAACCATTAAACTTAAAAAAGCCGCACTTGCAGTATCTTATTGTGAACGTTTGCTATAAACTGTGCATACAAATTATTTTACTCTTGCATCCATGCACCATACGGTGCATTTTTCTGGATGTAATGAAGTCTGTAGGGTCTCTTATGAATTGGTCTTACTCCATATGCGGTAATTTTGCTTATTAACAAACCCGTTAAGCCAAAAATGCACCTCATCACTGAACATAATTTTGCGATAAAACAACTGGTCATTTGCCAACTGCTCTCGAGTCCAATCGTCGAAAAAACGACGCATATATTGGTCTCTCATGATGATTTGCCAAAGTATACTGAAACAATTAAAAAAAGTTTCATCAAAATTTAATTTTTTATGATACTTTTTACAATTTAAAGTTCTATCTAGCTTAAAAAACACCCTTTATATCACGGAACTGCTGAGGCTCATTGCCCAAATACGTTTGTATTTTCTGTTTATCTTGACTAGAGGAAGCACATACCGATAAAGACCCCAATATGGCCACGCAGGTTTCACTGATGGAGGAAGTCGTGGCTCTTGTGTAAACTGTGGGCGCAATCCGAATTGCTCCAATCGCAATGATTGCCACCAGTCTGTTTGGTTGCATGCTCGCTCTGTATGTTGTTGCTACAGGCAGTTCTTAATCAGTTTGTGTAAACATGTTGCGTACACCTTCGCTGCGCTTGACAAATTGTTGTTACCTATTTCTTCGTGATCCCTTCGTAAACAAATTGTTTTCACTTTAATGGCGCTTGTTGATTCCTTACCGACTTATGATGTTGCAACCTTTTTTCTAGCGGTCCCTTTGCATAAACAAGATGTTTACACCTTAGCGGCGCTCCAAAAGGCCCACCTATCCATTACAGGCTGCCACCAGTTTGTTTGGTTGCATGTGTAGGGATGTGTTCAATTGAGGGGATGTGTTCAATAGACGAGTGCGACTCTCGTTTGCCGAGTTACTGCAACAGCAGTCTATAGTGCACACACTACATCGTCCGCACTGCCAACAAAATAAAATTGCCTGATTTCAACAACAACACTAGAACCTTGTCTCTCAGAACTTCCGACTGTAGGACGTACATATTGGCCGATTATTTCACTCGATCAAGGAATCCAAAGGGTCCTGGGCTCCATCGAATCTGACGTTCCACTTACGAAGTTGCCTGGCTTCGGCTCGAATATGCATGTTTGGCGGTGCTTTACTTTGATCACCAAGTGAGGCTAGTTGTGTTGGGCTGCCTATCTCAGAGGAGATGTCACCCCACAAGAACTAGTCACCACAAGAGCTGACGTTTTCTTGGATTATACGCTGCACTTACTGTCCTGTCTGGATGTGGACTGCATATGAAATTCCTGCTAACGCAATAGCCTTCCGAGAACATTTTTATCATGCTCCACTCCCAGAAATAGTGCAAACCCTATTCGCATTTCCTCAACCGACCCGTTTATTTCCACCCGAACTCATATAAATAGCTCCCCAATTCTCCCATAATGTACGCAACGTGGTAGGTATATTAGGAAACCGTTAGTTACCTCTCTAGTAGTATCATGTTTGCTCTTTACTCTTGTCCCTGCTCGGGCTCTACTGTCATGGCACGATTTGTGTATGTCAGCGACTTTAATAAGGAGGATTGTTTTGGCAGAGATACCCTGTTTTATTATTCAACTATAAATTATCTGGGCAAATTTGAAGTTCTGCCTAGCGGCGACTTGGGAAACCCTCTGTTTCACATATTATGGGGGTCCTAGGCCGGGCTCCAGAACTCGCGGGAGTAGATTATTGCTAATTTCCCTCCGCTTCTGCGAATCCACCTGCAGCTCTTCTACGGATCGGAACCCTGTGGCTGAGTGGCTTACTGAAACTCACTTTGTTGATAAGAGGCCACTGCCTAATTAACTCACGCACTTGATTATGTCACCGGTCTTCACTTGATTGATCCCCACTCACAGCTGGCCACTCCTTTTATAGGCATCGGTTTCAGGACGGTGTGCTTTCACATACCTTCGCTTTGTATGTCCCTTTGTGTAAACATATCCTTCGCGGCGCTTGACAATACCTTACCGAGGCATGTTATTGGTAACTTTTACTTCGATATCCCTTCGCGTAAACAAGTTGTTTTAACTTTACTTGCGCTTGATTGTTCTTTACCGACGTATGTTGCTGCTACCTTTTTACTAGCGGTCTTTTTGCATGAACTAGATTTTTACCCGTTAACGGCGCTCCCAAAGGCTCCAGCTACGCATATTGTTGCTACTTGTTTAAACGCCATCACAGCATAAACATATTGTTTACTCCTTCACATCGCTGGAGATTGCCTTACGTATGCATGTTTATACCAATTGATCATAGTTAACAAGTTGTTGACAATTCTGAATATTGAACGAACGGGAATAAACGGGATTCATTGAAGAAGCTAGCCATTAGCCAACATGGGGGAATTCTTGTTCTCTCTCACCCTAAAACAAGACAAAAGTCTAAAGTCCCTACATTTGTAAGTTAGTTGGTTAAATGTTCACACCCACTTAGAAACTAATAAGAAAACCTAGAAGATATTTTAAAAAATGTTTTTTCTATTGCTATAAACCGGTTAGCTTTATAGCAATAAATTGTAAATTATAGGAAATAACCCGTAGGTAAATATTTGTTACACTAAATATAAATTTCATGATACAAGAATATTTAACTTTAATAATATTAAATGACAAATGATTCGATTGAATGTCGAGTACGATCGAATGACTGTAGCGCACAGCCAAAACATGATACAAGCAAACATTACGTTGGGAAGTAAGGAAAGAACAAAAAAAATGAAGATCGGAACCAAACAAAAACAAATAGTTCTGATCACTTCAACAATGGTTTCTTGTTGCTATGCAAAACAGTCACTCATCGCAAATCAAAATCAATGATTGCAAAGGAAAATCAATACCAATAATAATAATGGTACAAGGATACAATAATAAACGTTTTCTTGGTACAACTCTCCACTTACATGTTTGTCGCTGTAGCTGCTGAATGAGGCCTTGTCCTCTATTGGCGCTTCTTAGATTAAGATAATGGGTTATTTTGCTTTGCATAGTAGAAGGATATATAAAGTATTTCATTCCGTTTGTAACTCCTCGAAATATACATTTTGGACCCCACAAAGTATAAATATTGTAGATCAGCATAAAATTCTATGTCGATTTAGCGATGTCGGTCCGTCTGTGGAAATCACTCTAGCTTCTCAACGAAATAAAGTAGATTGATAAAATTTTACTCAAATGTATATTATGACTGCAATATTGAAAATGGGCCATGTGAGTTCACGTTTTGGTATAGCCCTCATATAACGGTAACTCTCGATATTCAGGGTTTTAATGATTTTAGCGACATTATTCACTGGAATTGTTTCAAATTTGGTACTTTAAGTTCGAAATGGTGATACTACAGCCTAAGACAGGAAATTGTCTGTGCAGGTCCACGTCTTCGTATAGCCCCCATATAAGGGTACCTTCCGATATTCGGGTTTTTAATAATTTTAGCGACATTATTCACCGGAATTGTTTCAAATTTGGTATTTGAAGTTCGTAATGGATAATACAGCCAAAGACAGGAAATTTTATGTGCAGGTCCACGTCTTCGTATAGCTCCCATATAACGGTATTGATGATGATTTTAGCTATATTATTCACCGATTTTTTTTAAGTTTCGCATTTGGATATTGTAATGGGGTATGACGAAAGTTAGCTATGCAGGTCCACCTCGTCGTATAGACCCTAATATAACGCCTACATTTGGTATTTTTAAGATTTTAACAGAATTTTTAACGAATTTTATTGTTTGTGAGAATTGCCAAATTCGTTCCAAGTGGTGGAGGGTATTCAAAGATTACCCCGGCCGAACTTACAGCTTTTTTACTTGTTTTTCTATTTTAATTATGATGATTGGAAAAGATGAAATAATAGATTAAATTAAGGTGGTTTCTGATATGCAATTAATTGTATTTTACCCTGGATTACGATGATTTACACTGGATTATGGGAACACATTTGGAAAGCAAAACCCAGGGTCATCAGGACAGTTCTGTAGATAATAATGATGTTGGTAATAGTATATTTAGAGGTTAAAACTAAACAGATTATGACCTTACTTACTTATTGGGGTCTACTAGATGGGGAAAAGTTCTTGAAACTTAAGACCAACATGAGCAACGCCAATAATTTCCTTCAAATTATGGTAGAATGTCGGTGATTTCTTCCGATAAAATTTCGTCGGGATTATAGACCGTAAATTTCGTTTGATTGGAAGATCTCACATCCATCTACTTTGGAATTTCCACATGTACTAGATGTGCGAGTCGTTTTGAGAGTCCCGTGCTTCTAACTTTTTCAAAGTAGCCTTCTCAATCACGCTTGTATTGGGCTCTACTTTTGTTAATAAATATGGTTATTGGGACACGCGGAATTCGAGTCGAAAGGTGAAGTACTCTGAAGATGAGACTAAAAAAAAAAACAATAAATAAATCCACACGATATCACCATTATACACTTTTTATAAGATTTATTATTATTACTTAATATAAATACTGAGTATATAATATAATAGTATATTGGATACAACTTGTTTTGTGGAAAAGAAAAATTCAAGTTAACTCGAGGAAGGTTACAGAGGAAAGGAGTTTTAGAATCTATTATTGCAGTCACGATGCCTACGCGTTAAGCCGCTGTCAGCTGAAAAACAGGCAGTTAATGAATGAAGTAATGATTATTTCGTGTTGTTGACTGATTTAAAGATGTTGTGTGTGCAGTACTATATTGCAGTGAATAGCGCGTTAAATAAACAGTGTTTCGAAAAAAAATTAATAATATTTAAATTTTTAAAAAAATGTTATTACAAACCACGTACTGCTTCATCGTTGTTGTAGTATTAGGGGGAGAAGTATGACTTAGCATCCTTAGCATGGTACGTTCCTGTATTATTACAGTCAATGTCCTGTAAGACGTAATAATTATCACCATTTACCTCCTTGCCTTTCGCTTTGATAAATAACGGGCCAATTTTGAGTTAAACTTCCCAATTTGACAACTCAGAGAAATTCCTTGGGAAAACGTCACCACCTACTGAAAATTATATTAATTAGCCTTTGTCTCATGTGATTGAGCTAGGCGTTCTCTTAATTTGACTCTTATTACTTGAAGTTCATCATCACGACTTTTTTGACACTCGGTTCATTGAGACTATCCAAAGCCCTAAGGAGTTTGTATGAACTCCCATGGGTAACCATATCAAGTCCAAAAAGTGCTCTATACAGGGAACTTTTAATAGCTTGATGAGTGGTGTTCCTTAACGAGCAATCAATAAAGGTCATGTATCGGTCCCATAATTCCATATTCCAGCGATTATGGAACGGTTTACATGCTCCGAAGCATTTGATTGTGGATGTATTATACCTAGAGAAGTCAAAAGTGCATTGAAATCGTTGGCTTTAAATTGTGAGCCGTTGTCACTTTAAAGTGTTTCGGGTACATCATATATATATAACACATGTTTCAAAAATATAATGAAATGAAGCCAATGAAACTTTGTTAGATTATCCAATATAATCCAAATTTCTATATATCCTTGCTTGGTACGCGGATAGGGGTCTATTATATAATATATCTACTTACACTCGCTAAAAGGGTCTAGAGATTTTTTTTTTTTTTTTTAGGCAAATTCATGTTTTCTTTAGTATCAAAGTGCGCTTTCTGGCTCGGTAATTTGAATGGAAGCAATTTCATCAGCTGACATCGCGTGCATCACAATGCAAGAACTTCTTTGTGAATTCTAGATTCGAGAGAATGGGTTCACTACTGAGAAGTTTTTCCAGCTTCAGGGGGGTAATGAGCTAGTCTACACATATTTGCCGAACCCGAAAGGTATTACAAGGAATTGGTAGAGAGGTTTCCCGGGGACTGTAAAAAGGTTCGAGTACTCGGTAACACCAATTAGCCAGTAGGTATTTTTTAGACCTAGCTTTGTGATAATATGAGCTTTAGAGAGCCTAAAAAATAACCTTGATGCTGGGTAAAGGATACGTGTCCTTTATTGTCACCTAATTTAGGCGTCTGGCAGCCAGGCAGAGGCGAATTTTATTCGGTTTAAAAACCAACCTCATTGGTGAGCTCCAAGATGAAGAAGAGGGCTCAATTACCCACAGAGATAACATCCACGTCTTGATACATTCATTTTTCTACAGCTGGGGTAATATCTTTGTTGTACGGGGGTTGCTCGTCAACCTTAATTTTATGGTGGATCAATTTTGTTCTCGTTTTTTCGAATTAGGAAATAATTAATCTTTTCGGTTTATTTCTATGAAACATATTAAAGCTGAAGCTTCATAAATTTCGTTTCTTCGTTTTACATAGTTTTCCCACCTTTTATGAAAAGGAAATATGAGACTATTCTTAATTAATTTAACTATATGGTTTTGGGTATAAATGTTGAAGAATGGAAATTTTGGGGTTTGAATCTATGCCGTTAATTGTATTGAATTTGGCATTCAAATTTTGTAAAGGTGGTGTTTTATTGGGCTCTGGATTCAGAAAGGAGCTTAGTTTTTTGCAAATTGCGGGTAAGAATTTGAATTAATTCCTCTTTTTTCACAGTTTTATCAAGTCACGCAACATTTCTGTTATTATTTCAGAGAATATTAATTCCGGGTGTTACATTTGATATGGAATCTCTATTCAAAAAAAAGACATTTTGGGAATGGTTGTTACCTTTTTCTGCTGTAGAGTGTGTCAAATTTAAATTTTGTATCATCTTCGCTACCGTGTTTTCTACTATGCGGCTAATATGATCGTAATCTATTATTCGTTTAGAAGTTTTACCAGGACGTTTTTGTATATCAGGAAACTAGCTTCCACCCCATTCTCTCTAACAGTTTCCCAATCAGAACTATTATTTTGGAATCTTTCCTGGGAAAGATTTCGTACATTAATACGTGTATTGTAAGATTTTATAAAAGGTCCTTGCGGTCTATCACGATTATTTTGCCTGGCTTAATCTTTTATTTTCTTATCTCTGCTAGAGAGCAATGTCTTTTACAGGTTGACCATTCGGAGATATTATATAACTGACTTTCAAGACAATTTCTGTTGTATTCCGACAATAGCACCATGTTTTGTTCTTCCAACAACTTGTATCTACAATCAATACCAACATTCTTTGTCGCTGACATATTGACGTCAACGGACGTTCTCAAAATTTGAGTTTGGGGGGGTGGTTTTCTCCGTTATGAAGACAAATTCACAAACGTATTTCAAATGATAGAGAATAAGAGATATATTTGCATCTATCTAACATTTTTAAACTCAATTATAAATAGTGTAAAGTTCCTATACGAGGATTTGAAACAATAAAACAAACTAAATTATCGTTATAAATAGCGATTGATAAAAAATAGCAAAACTCATTCTATTGATTGTTATTCAAAAAGACTATCGTTAAGAACCAACCAGCATGTAATTTACATGTGACTTTTATTCTGATTTATCTGGACAACTAATCGGTAGCAGTAAATAAGTTGCAATCCAAAACAATTCAAGTGCTGATAACTCATTATCCTAAAAATGTTTGATTGATTAGTTTTGTGACATTGGCTTTAAATTACGTATATAATTTTTTTTATAGACTTCCTTTTTGGTAAACAAAAAAATAAACAACAAAATGTAAAAACAATTGATCTATCATATTACCGATGACAGTTGAAACTCTCCAGTGGATCAATTAAACAGAAGAAGACACAAAATGATCAATCCCCACATCAACTATCCTCCTCGGATATTCGGGAGTCAGTGCTCAAAAACCCACCATATCTTCGACTTAAGATATGCACCCATCTAAAATTTTGTCTAAAGTCCCTACATTTGTCAGTTAGTTTGTTAGATTAGGATGATTGGTTATCTAGCTTTTCAGATGATATTACAATTTTCTTCCTTTCTGCATACTTTTTGAAGTCTACTTGATAGGGAAAAGTTCTTGAAACTCAAGACCAACATCAGCCACGCCAATAATTTCTTTCAGATTATGGTAGAATGACAATGTTTTGCCCTCTCAGAGAGTAATAGAGCTTCCAATGTAGCCTTCTCAATCACGCTTTTAGTAGGCTGTACTTTTGATAATAAAAATTATTATTGGTACACGCGGAATTCGAGTCGAAAGGTTAAGTATAATCACACGATGTCACCATTATACACTTTTTATAAGATTTCTTCATTTATCAATTAATACCTGATATAAATTCTGAGTTTTATTTGATTTAGGTAAAATTTCGAAAATTACAAACTTATTGGTATATATTAGCTACAACCTTTTTTGTATAAAAAAATTCCATTTAACTCGAGGAAAAGAATTTTAGCTGAAAAGCTGGTAGTTAGGGAATGAAGTAATGATTATTTCGTGTTGGCTGGTTTCAAGATGTTGTGTGTTCAGTACTATATTGCAGTGAAAATTACATTACAGCGAATAAACATTATGGAAAACAATGTAATTAATAAAAAGCAATTAAAGACAATATTAATTATATCGATGCATAGCATCAGGATATGAAACCGGGAACTAGCTCTGATTTCCGGCGTTAAAGCATTTGCAAATTGGAATCAAACCCTTTGTAATTGAAATGAATATTTTTGAATTTGAAATTGAACCTTCTGCAACCGAAAAGATTATAAATTTCATTTAAAATGATTAAATATAAAATATTTTTAATACTTAAGGCTAAATCAGAAATTGAAAGAAAAATTGGACCATATTATCATAGTTTAAATAAGCAGGACAGAGATGCAAAATTTTGCTTTATTTTATTGTTATTTAGTTATAGCTATTCATCTTACCTAGTAAAGAATCCCGCATTTCAGCTTGTGTAATTTTTACAGCAGATCTCTTATGTATATAGAGCATTCTTGCAAAAGGTTTAATTCCCGTTTCAAAAGGTTTAATTTCAGTTGCTAAAGATTTCATTTAATTGCAAAATGATATACATATATAATTTAGAATTTACAAATCTAGTTTTAAGACAGACTGCTGAGTGCTGAATTAATATAACCCCATTCAATATAACAATAATATAAAATATAACTAGAGGTTTTTACCCTCAATTAACGATGTAATTGCATGGTGAATTCTCCTTCGATTAATTGAAATAATCGATTATTTCAAATAGCAATTTATACACACAGCTAGTTGCCAAGTGTATTAACTGAGGATTGGTCACTGACGGAGAAAGACCTAGATCTGTAACAAAAACCATTCGTATGGGAAGAAATGAAATCGGTCTACACTAACCCTCTTGCACAAAAATATGTCTAATTGATAGCTCAATATTTCTATAATTTCGACTGACTACATTTTCTTAGTAAGATTTTTGCTCTGTTCCAGAACCTGCAGGATTCTAAAAGTTTGGATTTTTTCTATATCATAAAGGAACAAGTAAAAAAGCTATGTTCGGTGGCCAGAAGCTTTAGTAACTTGAAATTTTCCAAAAAAAAACTTTCGAAAATTACCACTTAAATGAAAACTGTTATATGAAGACTATTTTTTCCATAAGTTGTACTAACCACATATACGTTGAGTGCCACCGTACAAACTCAAAATATATTATTAAGGTGTCAATAATTAATAACAGGTAAAAATTATTCTTTAGTGATACAAAAGTTATTTGTGAAAATAGATTTTTGTTTATGTGTGTTGTTTGTACCGTTATATAGCGTGACAGCCGGCTGTCCATGTAGCACTTAGATCATACAATTTTATTTTGGTGCCATGTATACCGCCGGCTGTCACATGATTATATTTTATTTTTATTTATTTTTTTGTGTAGTCTCTCTAAAGTACAGTTCGTAGCGCAAAATGGATGTTCAATATTTTTATGGGAACTGGAAGTTCGCTAAAAACATTTATATTCGCTGACACTGCCGCTTCACCAGTCTTAGCCAATGTGAACTCGAGTTCAATAATGCCAGCAGGTATTTTCAAAGTAATGTTTACGGAAGAAGTTTACGAGCTAATAGTGAAGCAAACAAACTTGAATGCCAGGAAAAAAAAAATGAAGCAACTCGCCTAAGTCGCAGTTCCCGCATGAAGAAATGGGAAGCTACAAAATAAAAATGCAGTGAAAATTCTCAAAGTTAAACAAAATGACCTTTTTTTAGGTGCCATAGTATAGTATTTATCCACTTTAGTGTAGTGCCGTAGAAAATAACACACGGCACTCAACGTGTTAAATAAATTCTTATTTTTTATACCCTCTACCATATATAGTATGGAGGGTATATTAAATTCGTCATTCCGTTTGTAACTCATCGAAATAATCATTTAAGCAGCGTAAAATTCTAAGACGATTTAACCCTGTCCGTCCGTCTGTTGTAATCACGCTACAGTCAAAACGAATTAAGATGGAAGATAATATTTTGCACAGATCTCTCTTTTGCTTGCAGGCAGGTCAAGTTCGAAGATGGGCTATATCTATAACGGTACCCCCCGATATTCGGTATTTTAATGATTTTAGTCACATTTTTAAATAGAATTATCTGAAATTCCCTTGTGAGTACTTTATCCCCTGAAAGAGAATTATCAATATAGGATAACGATATCGTATATCCCCCATATAACGGTACCCCCCGATATTTGGTATTTTGATGATTTTAGCCATATTTTCCAATGGTATTGTCTGAAAAACCACACAAGAAGTTCTTTGTGAGCACTTAACCTCCTGAAAGGGAATTGTCTATATAGGTCCATAATATCGTATACAACGGGATATTAATGTAATACCGGGATCTCATTTTGTATGTACCTTTTTATTTTTATTAAGCGTTGTTGATTTTACATGAATTATTATTTTAGGTTCGTTTTTAAAAAAAATCACGCTAAATTCGAGTTGTTCGACTTATAGGATAAATCGAATTATTCGAGCAATTTAAGACTCTTAAACAATTAATCGAACAAATTAAAAACCCCAAAGTAGATTAATTTTTTAGACGAACAAAGACTAACCCCGATTAATTGGATACTCTACTATACATACAAAAACAAACATCAGGTAATTAATCCCTATAGGGATTTATTGATTAATCCAGATTTATTCATACAAAAAAAAAATATCTCACGATCGGTATTTTAAAGTTGGTGCGGAATCGATATCCCAACATAAAGCTTCACTTGGTACAGTATTAGGACATTTTTCAATGGAATTGTCTTAAAATCCACACAAGTAGTTCCTTGTGAGTACTTTACCCCCTGAGAGAGAATTGTCTATACAGGTCCACGATATCGTATATCCCCCATATAACGGTACCCCCGATATTCGGTATTTTTATGATTTTACCCACATTTTTCATCGGAATTGTCTGAAAATCCACACAAGGAGTTCCTTGTGGGTACTTTATACCTCGGCAGAGAATTATCTATATAGGTCCACGATATCGTATAGCCCTCATATAACGGTACCCCCGATATTCGGTATTTTGATGTTTTTAGCCATAGTTTTCAACGGAATGGTCACAAGGGGTTCTTTGTCAGCACTTTACCCCCCGACCGAGAATTCTCTATATAGGTTAACGATAACGTATAGCTCCCATATAACGATACCGCGCGATATTCGGTATTTTGATGATTTTAGCCACATTTACCAATCGTATTGTCTGAAAATCCACACAAGGAGTTCTTTGTAAGCACATTACCCCTGAAACGGAATTGTCTATATAGGTCCACAATATTGTATATCCCCCATATAACGGTACTCCCCTATATTCCGTATTTTGATGATTTTAGCCACTTTTTCCAATGGAATTATCTGAAAATCCACACAAGGAGTTCCTTGTGAGTACTTTACACGCAGACATAGATTTGTCTTTATAGGTCCACAATATCGTATATCCCCCCATATCGGCACCTTCCTATATTAGATATTTTAAAGATTTTAAAAGAATTTTTAATGGATTTTTTTTTTGAAAATTTTCTAATTCGTTCCAAATGGTGGAGGGTATTCAAAGTTCGGCCCGGCCGAACTTATTGCTTTTTTACTTGTTAATTATTGTGTTCTTATTTTGTGTTGCAGATGTTATTAAATAATAATAAAAGAATGATAACGTTTTTACTACGATAACTGATTATCCTTTCATGATACTTAAACAAATTGCAAAACTAGTAGTTTTTTGCAGACTCTGGAACAGAGCATATGATAACTTTTTTTATGATATCCAAAATATTGCAAATGTAGTAGATCCTATAAGGTTCCGGAAAGAAGCAACCGCATACGCACCAAAATTTAAATGTTCACATTTAAAAATTGAAAGTAGCAGCAATTGTAATATTAGTGTAAAATCCCATAAGATGTTTTGTGTTTAAACATAACCTACATAAGGTCGTTTAGTAAGTCCACCTTTTGGAATCCAAAGAAGTGAAATCATAATAGTGCAAAAACTACTACGATTTAATCTATTTCAGACATGGCGCAATTACAAGTTGTTCCTGCAAATTGTAACCAGATGAAATGTCAAAATTTGTTTACATTTTTTGGCTATTATCTTTTCTCTGATTTCAATCACAACAATGCATTTTGACACTACATTTGGTAGTCTTATACTTGAAATCCAATGGGAGTAAATCACTATAGTGCCCCATATACCATACAATGGAGGGTATTTTAAATTTGTCATTCCGTTTGCAACACCTCGAAATATTCGTCGGAGACCCCAAAAGGTGTACAAATTACTGATTAGAATAAAATTATGAGGCGTTTTGTTGAAATTTTGGCGCAAAAGTTTGTTTTATATACAGACTAATTAAAAATGGGCTATATTGGTCCACGTTTAGGTAAAGCCCCCATAATACAAAATTATATGGGTTTCGCTACTTAAGTTATTATTTATTTCGATTAAAACAGATTTACATACTAAGTATTAATGTATAAGGTATTCTACATCTTTGATCATTCATTTCACTTTGCTAATCATAGTGGTGGAGGGTATAAAAAGTTCGGCCAGGCCTTTTTTTACTTGTTTGATATATATCAAGTATATACAATATATATCACGTCAGTACAATGTGAACTTTTCCCGATAATTGGAGGCAAAAGTTGATATACTTTACAAAACGTCAACGCCGATGATACGAAAACTTTTTTCGAGGTATAGAAAATGTGAAACCGCATTATCCATGTTTTTAAACTTTGCATATGAATATGTATATTTGATTTCAATATCCCTTGTTGTTTCTTCCACTACTTCCTATCGATTTCTTGAAGTGTTCCAGGATTTGTACTTACTGTTGACATCCAAACATTGAGAGGAAGGATATGAATGCATTAAAACCGGCATAAGTTGAGTTTAGGGGCTGTGCTCGGATTGACTTGAAATTTATACTACAGGTAGGTATTTTTAAACTGATTACGGCAATATAAATTTTTTGTGGGGGAAATAACCGGTTACCCGGTTATTGGACCCGAAAGTTCAGATACAATGTTCGGTTTTTATCCGGTTCCACTGAACCGATACAAACAAAATGGGTATCATTGGAAAGCTTATGAAAATACCTATCCAACAAGTGGTCACATGAACCGGTTACAAGAACCGGTTCCAGAGTAATGCAAGAAAATTGATATTTTTTACCAGTACTTTTTGAAAAACCCATAAAAACTCAAAAATGGACCCATTATAAGGTATTAAAATCTACATACCGTATTATAGCCAACAATATTGCCTTTCCAAAATGGTATCATACATGTTGATATCTTTTGTAATTCCGAAGATATTGGCTTTTAAAGTTGTTACTTATGAAAGTAGTATGAGTGAAGCCAAGTTTTATGTCGGGTTTAACGTTTTTGTTAATCTGTTTTGGTTTGAATTCGGTGTTGATTAAAAAGTGCTTTTAATATAACGTCATTTTTTGCATTCCTTTTCACGAAACTGAGTAGAAAGGGAATTAAGATACAAAGAATTTCTGCGAATGTGGGTGGAAAAGGAATATCTAAAAAGTACCGTTATAATTTAGCTAGTTTTTAATTAAAATTTTCGTTACAATGGAAAGTGTCGAACTTTTGGAAATTTATAAAAT